TTTTTTTTTTTTTTTTTTTTTTTTGGTATTAGGGATCAAACTTGAGACCTTGCACTTGTGAAGCATGTGGCAGAACCACTGAACTAAATCCCTGGCTTATCCAATCCTTTGTTGAAGACAAGAAGAACCTAGAAACCACCTTTGGAAGAAGACCACAGAACTACACGACCTGGTAACAACCGAAGGACTCTAAGTTCAAGCACAGTCTGGGGAAATTAGCAACTTGGCGAGACTCTGTCTCCAAACAAAACAGTGCTGGGGAAGTAGCTTGGTGTGAAGGCCCTGGGTTCAATCTCTAGTACCCCAGTAGCAGCAAGAAGGAAGGGGGTGTCTGGAAATCTATAGACCCTCAGCAAGCAGCCTTTCTAAAGTACAGTTTACACTCTCTGCTCAGCAACCAGACCTCCCAGGTGAAAGTGACCTAAACTGCAAATGGCCCTGCCTCAGGGGCCAGACCCTCCACCACCTTCCTTTTCTTGGCTAATGGTTGGTTTTTTGTTTGCTCTATGAGTCATCTTGCTTAACCCTAATCCACTCGAATCATCTCCAGAAATACCCTCACAAACACACTGAAAATACCTAAGCATTCTTAATCCAAAGTGTCACTTAAAATTAACCATCACAAAGGTACAATTACCAGTATCAGGAATGGAAAGGGGACATTTATATAGTTCCTAAAGATATTAAACAGGATATAAAAACTTATCATAGGGGCCAGGGATTTAGCTCAGCAGTTCAGTGGCCTGCCTCGCAAGCACAAGGACCCAAGTTCGATCCCCAGTACCAAAACAAAAAAACAAAAAAACAAAAAAACAAAAAAACCCCAAACAAACAAAAAACTTATCATAAAAAAATCTATGCCTAATGAATGTAACTGTACTATATACCTAAAATGTACCAATAAACTCAATAGAAGAAAAAAAATCCATGCCAATGTTTGAACATTTAGATGAAATGAATAAATTCTTGGAAGACACTAATGCTGACATAAGAAGATACTAAGTATAATTATAAATGTACTCCTGAGAGAAGATAAAAATATAAAACAAAATAAAATATGACTCTTAAAAATAACTTCAGTAGATAATCTTACCAAGCAGTTACAGAAGTATAATTCCAATATTTGAAATCTCTTCTGGAGAGTAACACATAAGGGAACAGTTGCCAGTTTGTTTCAAGATGCTAGCACCATTCTGCCACCAGGACAAAGATATCATGAAAGGAAAAGTGAAAGCCAGTTTCATTCACAGATACACATATAAAAATCCTATGTGAGTGTTTAGCAAACAAAGCCATGTGTGGTGGCCCACCCTGTAATCCCCGCACTCTTGAAGGCTAAGGCGGGAGGATCACAAGTTTGAGCTAGTGACTTAGTGATATCTTGTTTCAAATTTAAAAGAAAAATACAATTTAAAAAAGGGCTGGGAATGTACTCAATGGGAAGGTCCTGTGTTCCAATTCCCAGTACTGGGGACAAAAAGAGTTTAGAAAACAAAATACAACAATATATAAGGATTCCATATTAGGACTAAATTGGGTTTACCTCAGGCATACAAGGTTTGATCATTGATTCACTATTGTAACAGAATAAAGCTGAGCCTGATGGTGTCAATGTCATTCAAAGCACGGTGAGGCCCATGTGGCTGAAGCAAACTGATGTAAGGCTGAGCAGGTCCTGGGCCACAGTGGTAGTCCAGGCAAGAGTGGCTCGAAGAAAGAGAGGTGGGAAGTGTCTGGATTGGCTGTCTATTGGAGATGGACAAAATCTATGCAGACTGGATGAGGGCTGCAGTGAGGAAGGATGATCAGGAACAGCACCCAGAACTAGTCAATAACAAAAAGGAATGAATTATGGATCAGTGCATAGAAGACTTTCAAAGTATATTACCTGTGTTCAAAGAAAGGGGTCCAGACTTGCCCTTCCTCATGCAGCACCGTGTGCTATGTCCTATTTTATATAGGCTGAGAAATTCAAGCTCATCTACAGTGACAGTGCAGATGAGTGGTTGCACAGAGAAAGGACAGGCACAGGCAGGAGGCGTGACAAAGAGGTGGCAGGAGCCTTTTCAGGGTGGTGGACACATTTACTCTTCACGTGGTATTGGTTTCATGGTGCATGCATGTGTTGACACTTGTTAAATTGTGTGTTTTAATGCATGCAGTTTAACACATGCCAATTATACTGCAGGAAATTTGCTAGACAAAGAATCTCTACTAGGTGTTAAGGAGAGGTGGGAGGGCAGTAAGCAGGAAGAAAGTTAGTGGAACTTATGTCCTATCCCATGGCAGCAGGATGAGGTGGGGTAAGTACATCTGCTTTATTTTGGCTAAATTGGAGGTAACTATGGTGTAAAGCATTGGGAACACTGAGAATGCAGTTAGAAAAAGATCTGACAAGAAGGAGGTCTTGGATTACAACTAAGGGAAAGCTTTCTCACATTTTTTTATCAGTTAGGACCGTATGCTAAAGAGAGAGCCATTAATTTAAACTGGATTTCTTTGAAGTGTTCTTATTGGCTCACATAACTGAACAGTACACAGATGGGATCAGGCTCATCTGGTTCAGGGCTCCGGTGATAACAGGCCACCTCTGGGCTCTGGATTCTCTGGCTGTCACTATTCTCAGGCCATCCATCAATGGCTGTGGCTCCAGAATTATATCCTCTACCAACACTTGTGGAACACAATGGAAAGTTCTCTTGTCACGAAGCACCACATTAGCCTTCTTTCTCTTTGGCTCTGACCTATTCACTGGTGATGGAATAGGGACTGACAGTGGAGGATGTGAAATGACCAAAGAGAAACACAGTGCTGCTGGCAGGTGGAAGTAGTGGGGAATGGATGAGAAGAGGAAGTTCATGTGATAGTTTTGCTTTTTGATGCCAGACCAGCTGTCTTAGTCACAATACCCACAACACGAACTTCTTTTTAAATTGATACCTTTTAGATATGATAACAATCATCATAGGGGATTTGTACCTGTGCATGATATATCTTGCTGCTTATTTTTTTCCCATTCCCTTTCCTGCTCTATAATCCCTCTTCCCCTTTTATTTACAAAAGCTTTGTTTCCATTTTTGATTCTATTCTTTTCTCCCCCTCCCCTTGTTCTCATTTGAACATTTTCTTCTCATCTCCCAATATCTATTACACATTTTGGTTCTTATTTACACTTTCAGTTTCTCACTCCAGAGAAACCATTCATATTTAAACATGTGTGTTAAATTTATTTCCCTTAAGGGTATGGTTTCAGAGTGCATCTATTTAGCTAGAAATGTCTCAAGCCTATCCTTCTTAATGGCAGAGTAGTACTCCATTGTATAGAAAAAAACCACCATCTTCTTTATCCATTCATCAGTTGATAGGCACTTAGGTTGTTTTCAAAATTCAGCTATTACAGGCTGTGCTGCTATAGACATGTGTGTATGTATCACTGTGGTATGAAGCTATTAATTTTGGAAGACACTAAGAAGGGGAATAGCTGGGTTGAATGGAACCTCTAGTTTTAGCTTTTTAAGGAATCTCCACACTGATTTCCACAGCCCCAACCCACAATTTAAGGGAGGACAGGTTTATTGTGGTTTGTGTTGCAGTAGCCACAGTCCTTACATGCTCTACTGACTCCAAAGCAGGATGGCATGGCACAGAGGCATGGCAGAGGAAAGACTCCTCACTTCATGAAAGTGAGGAAGCAGAGAGTCAAAGGAGGAGCTGGGAAGGGAAATATTCCCTTCTGGATCATGCTTACAATGACCCACTTCTGACCAGACCTTTTCTCTTAACAGCAAGTTAGCTGTAATGCTCCTAAAAGCCAATCACCTCCCAAAGCCCCACCTATGAGCCCATGAGGCCCTTACGGGACATCTAGATATAAATCAGAACACTGCACCTTGGCTCCCAAAGATAACATTCCATCCTTGGCTTCCAAAGATGCATGTTTATCTCTTTATGCAAAATGCATTTAGTTTCTCTCTAACAGTCACCAAAGTCTTAACATTGTCAGCATTGCTGCAAAGCCCAAATCCCAAGTCTCCTCTGAGACTCAAAGTAAACTCTTAGCTGTGAGCCCTTGTGAAAATCAAAATAACATTGTCAATGTACTTTTGCAAGGGTGAACATTCACAGTCCAAAAGGGAAGAATGGGGCTAGAAACAAATGCAAGACAAAAACCCAGTAGGGCAAACATCTAATTTTGTAGTTTCATGTCTAGTGCTCAGAGCGAGTTGTAGTGAGACAAGAACTCCAAAGTGTTTGTGCAGCCTCTACAACATTACTGGTGGTTGCAGCCCTCATGATCTCTCTCTTGGACTAGCTTTGTTCACTGCCTGTGGCTTTTATAAGACCTAAGGCCTTACTACCACTCCAACGAGCTCAACAGCTACCAAGGGCCTTACTACCACTCCGAGGAGCTTGATTCTACCACTCCAAAGAGCTCGACTTTACCACTCTGAAGACCTCAACAGCCATGAGTGAGATTCACCCAGGAAGGAACACACTGGACATGTTGGAAAGGGAACAGACCTTTACTAGTCTGGCCAGGTGGCACTCCCAGAGCCAAGCAGCTCAGAGAGGCGCCAGCTCAGGGGCAGAGGTCCTTTTTATAAGGGGATAGGCAGGGTGGGGGTCTACTGGAGATGCTTACAGAATGTCCCAAGGTTTTCAAAACATTCCTTCTGGGCAGACAAAGAGTGAAACAATCTTCATCCATATATCCAGAACTACTAAATGTTCACCTGTTAATTTACATTAATCACAGTTGGGACTAGGATTTAGGTTACAAAGCTGTGCAGTCTTATATTCCTAAGCAAAGGTAGGGGTGCGACTACAAAGGGGAGTGGTACACAACGGCCTCTGGGGCCGTTACTCATCCAACATGGACTCACTTTAGTTCAGTTAGGTCTTACACTTTCCTTAGATGTTCCATGCTCCTGACCTCTGCAGCTTTCTGAGGGCTCCACTGTACTTTTGGCTTCACTCTCACAGCTTCATGCACTCTCACAACCTCTCAGGGGCACACTGACCTACTACTAAGGCCTTTTCCTGAAATCTGCTCGGAAGTCTGCATGATCCCACAATGCCCGCATTCTGTAGCCCTCTAAAACCCGCACCGTGTGGATGACAAGGTCTGCTGCTGGCTGAAGCAGTAGCCAGGGCCTCTTGGCTCCAGAGGTTTCTTAATGTCTGAATGGCTGAACACTGCAGGCTGAACGGGGTGGAGTGGGGGTGGAAGAGTGGAGGGGTGGGTACACACAAATTTCCCTCAACTAATTCTCAGCACAGTGCCCTGGGGGCTCTCTTCTCAAAGCACTTTTTCAATTTTGCTATGATTGAGGCTGTGAAGGGTGGGGCCTTATTAGCTATCATTTACCCTGAAGGAATATTTTTTATTATCCTGCTGTAGAGTACTTGGCTTCTATCTACTTATTTATTTTTAGTTTTTTTTTGGAGACAAGATCTCACTATTAGTTCAGGCTGGCCTTGAACTCACTGTGTAGCCCTCCTGCCTCACCCTCTCGAGTGCTGGGATTATAGGCATGTACCACAATGTCTGGCTTTGGATTCTTTTTAATTCTAATCTTTTCAGAAATCCTGAACCCCAACTTTATAGGCTTTTTCTCTTTTGGTGAGACTAAAAGCTTTTCAAATAGTGTTTTGCTCCTGAATTTCAGTATAAACCTGTTTAAAAGCAGCAAGCACTATACCTGCTGCACTCTGAACATTTGACTGCTTTGAAATTTCTTCCACTAGATTAATCAGTCCACACTCTTAATCTCGGTCTCCAGCAGTCTTAAAACAGGAAAAAAAAAATGTAGACAAATTTTCCACCAGAGTAATAACACACATGATCTGGAGCCCAACTGTCAACTGAGTCATTGTTTGCAAATGAAATTTCTTGAGCCTGGTCTTTACTGGCTGAATTACTTACTGTCAGCATTTTGTTCTTCAGAGCTCTGACCAGAATCTCCTATCAAGCTCTGTTTGCATCATTCTAGGGCTGCTTCTCCAGCCAGCATCTCCAAGCCTCTTTGAACTTCTCCCATGAGCCAGCCTGAAAGGGTTTGGAACCATGTGGTCAGTAGTGTCACAGCAACAACCCCATTTCTCTTGGTACCAAATCTGTCTTAGTCACTTTCCTTGTTGCTGAGAACAATACCAGCAACCCACAATTTAAAGGAGGAGACATTTAACGTGGCTCAGGTTTCAGTGTCTCAGTCCTTGCATGGTCTGCTGGTTCCAAGGCAGAATGGCCAGGCACTGAGGCATAGCAGCTAGGAAGCAGATCCAAGGAAGAAGCTGGGAAGGAAGCTATACACTTCCCAATCATGCCACATAATCCACCTCTTCTGACTAGACTGCACTTCTTTTTTTTTTTTTTTTTTTTTTTTTTTTTTGCAGATCCCACTCTGACCTGGAACTCACTATGCAGCCCAGGCTGGTCTCGAACTCACAGCGATCCTCCTGCCTCAGCCTCCCGTGTGCTGGGATTACAGGTGTGCGCCACCACGCCCGGCCAAACTGCACCTCTTAACAGCAAGTTAGCTAAGCACTCATTATCCATTCACCTTCTGAAGATTCTTTCTACTCTTCCATGAGATTTCTAGGGGACATCTAGGCATAAAACCCAACACCAGCCAAGTTCTTGCAACAGCTGCTTTAAATAAATTGTATTAGTTTTTAGCCAGATCAGGAGAAAACTGCCTAGATTCTTGCTTTTCCTCTAATTTATTCTGGCCTTAGACATCTATATTCTACTAATAGCTGTTATGAAGAAATGATCCCATAAAAACATGGAAAGGATACCTCTGAAGATAAAGTGCATTCTACAGTACCAGCTTTATGGCAACTTTAGTGACTATATAGAATAGTATCTTTATGAAAACTTGGAGACATTTCTCTCAGCACTCACTAGGAAGTGTTACCCAAACCACAGATGTTTGAGTCTGTAGGTAAATGAGTTTTCTAACAAATTATGCTTTCTTCTCTTAAGACTAAGGAGCCTGGAGTCCAATTTTTGGGGGATGGGGTACTGGGGATCGAACTTGGGTCCTTGCACTGGTGAAGCAGGCAGCAGAACGACTGAGCTAATTTCCTGGCCCCTGGAGTCCAATTTTTACTTAACTTTTTTTATAGGTTTTATTGGATTAGTTTACTACTGTCTTTGGTTTTCTACTTGTTTCCTCGTCTACTTATTCAGACTGATTCATGTTACTGTAAAACTGCTTCAAATTCTTCTTAGAACAAAATAGGCTATAAATTCATATACAAACTGATTTATGTCCAAAACTTTGTCTCCAACCTGTTTTTCCAGTTTAATGTCTTATCCTAGCCCCAATATTCATATGGGACTACAAAGTTGCCGGGTGTGGTGGTGCCCACGTGTAATCTCAGCACTCAGGCTGAGGAGGCAAGAGGATCATCACAAGCCTGATCTACACGGAGTTCAAGGCTGGTCCGAAATACATGGCAAGATCCTGTCTCAAAAACACCAAAACAAAACAAACAAAGTAAACAAACAAAAAAGGGAGTAAGACATAAAAAGATTTTTGAATCTTGGATCTACTCGCAGCCTGAGACATTTAGCAAATTAACCCCTCTGAACTTGTCATCTGCAAAACGGTAGCTCAAAGTTTTGCTGTAAGGAGTAGAGGTTATTTTACATAAAATACCAAAGCATTACTGTACTCAAAAACAGATGTCAGCTAAGTGTGGTGGCACACACCTGCAATCCCAACACTTGGTTTGCTAAGGAGAGAGCGCTGTGACTCTGAGTTACACAGTGAGTCCAAGTGTTATGGCACTCAGAGGGCAGGCAGACCAAGGAAGAAAGCGGAACTCAAAAGAACTGAAAGCAAACACAGGTTCATTCGCTAGCCACTAGCCGGCTCAGTGGAAGTCTCCTTCCAGAATCTGAGCCCTGAAAGTTTGCTTCCTTTTTTCTATTGCACTTTTGGCAGGGCAGGGAAGCAAGCAGAATTTTACAGAAGCAGAACTTAGCACAGGGGCAGGGTTGTACAGGCAGAGGTTGTGCTAACAGTTTATTTCTAAAACATAGGGAGGTATAGGCAGGTGTTGTTTCAGAAGTTCATCTTTAGGTCACAGTGATCTTCCTGGGTTTACCAGAAGAGGCAAGTCCTGAGACTGTTAGTCTATCTTTCATCTTGTCTTTTGATTTTGTTCATTTCACAAGGCCAGCCTGAACTAGTGAGGCTGTCACAAAAAAACACCCCCAAAACAGATGTTGATAAATCATCTGTCACTCCATGGCTAGCAGATCTCATAAGTATCTTTCTTTATTCTTAAGTATGTTTCTTTTTAAAAAGCTTATCTGCCTGAGGTTTTTCAGCCATTGGATGACTAAATGTAAACATACATGGACACAAAGCACCTCACACATAAAATAGTTTTTATCCCTTCTTGATCTGGCCTGTATTTGAAAGGCTTTAATCGTCTCTGCCTATTAAATGCAGTCATTTTAAACGATTCAGTTAAAAAAGCATCTTCCCTATTTTTGTAGTTGTTACTTCATCCTTGAAATTCTCTGGTGGATTCTACAAACCTGTTACAACATGTTGTCTTTCTTGCCCCTCCAGGTTTCAAGCTTTTGGTGAGTAGATTCTTTTCACTTTTCCATTTGCCCAGGAAACAGGGCATGTCGCTGGTAATCACTCATTATTATCACGTTAGACTTCTGGATTGATCAAATGGTCATTATCTAATAATTCACTCTTAACCAGGCCTAACACTTGGCTGCCCTACTGCGTAAGAGTGGGGCACAGAAAGATGGTCAGCAAATCCAGATCTACAGTTTTAATGTCTTGAAATGTAGTGTTATTAAAAGAACTGCAGTGACTTCTGGCTATGGCTTCTGAGGTCTAAGGTCAACACTCTGGGAACAATGAGGTTCCAGGCCTTCTGCAGAGGGAAAGATGTAGGTGTGTGATCCCAGGAATCCAGAAATGTCTTGTTAAGACAACCGGCTCCACACAGCTGTTCTGGACTCAAATGTAGAAATGAACACGTAGTAGGTGCCTGGCTGTAAACCACTCTTGGTGCATTTCAATTTCGTGTTGCTTGGTACTGCGACCTCCATCGGAGAGCCCTGATAGTTTCCTAGGCTCAGGTGACAGCACAGACCCCTCGCCCGTCGGGCCCCTAGGTCCCGCAGGTCGAGGCCGCCCGAGGACCGGCAGGTGA